TTTAAAAAAACAAAAAGGGGAATTTTATGTGTTCTGTTAGATAGAATTCATCAAGATTTCTCATTAGAAATGGTAAAACAAATAAGAGACTATAGTATGCAGATTTCTCCTAAATAATTTGACAGTAGGACACTTACTTGCTTTAATTAATAGTTATTAATAGGTTATGAAACTTGTATTTGGGAATTCTGAGTTAAAGATGTCACTCCCAACAAAACACAGTTGAAAAAAAAATGGAGATGATGTTTGGTAGAATGGAGGGTGCAGGGGAGTTTGATTAAGAAGATCTGGTTCTAATTCCACCTCTAAATACTAATTCCTCATCCACAATATACAGATGAAAATATAGTACTTGTACTTTCACCTTATTTACTGTGGTGGCATCAGATAGAATATGTTATCATATATTCTTCAAACTTTTAAAACACTGGGATTCAAAATGATTGCATGGAATCAATCGCAGCTGGAGCATTAAAAGCTAGCTAAATGGTAAGGACTGTATTATGCCAAAATTCTAAATGAACATATTATTCTGGAATGTTTTCATTTTGCTTGTATACTCGAAAGTGATTACTTATTCTGCCTAACTCAAATAAATCCAAGAATTATCATTTTAAAAATCAGAACACTTATGATTCCTTAGACTCTTACCCCTTTACAGTGGGCTGAGTATCCTAATTTCTTAAATAAATGATAAATCTACCTGTGCCACAGATTTGTTAAGATAATTAAATTAGATCATAGAGGTAATGAGCCTAGTAAAATGCCTGGTGCAGGATTGATGCCTCAGCTGTTATTGTGATTGATTAATTATCAACCTGTAGACATTGATGCTTCATATCAGTTTAACAGCTCTAGGGCTAAAAGCTGGGGATTCAGTTCAGTTGTTTTTTATGCCATGGTGACTAATGGACTGGTAAAACTTAAATCAGTCTAGACAGAGAAGGAAGATAATAAACGGTCATAGATTTGTCTTTATTTACAAACACAATAGTATTAGACCACGATGCTATTTTTGCAATCCCATTGTCCCTAACGCCATAGGTAATGGAAAGTGTTGAGCTGTGCTGAGCAGAAAGCGGATAGTAGTTCTTTCAAGGACTTTTGGGGCTGACAGCTCTCCGCGAGTCAGCAGCTGTTCTTGTGTGGCATGAACATGAGTGGCAAAGGCCAAAGGACTCTGCTCTTAGCCAGAAACAAGCCATACATGGATCGAAGACCATCCGTCACCATAGTTGGGTTTAGGCCAGCACTAGTCCTGCCTCACCTTCCTGAAATCCTTTTTATGATTCAACTACAGAGGAAAAGACCAAGGTAGATGCTTCTTCTTTGGGGCTGACAGCTCTCCGCGAGTCAGCAGCTGTTCTTGTGTGGCATGAACATGAGTGGCAAAGGCCAAAGGACTCTGCTCTTAGCCAGAAACAAGCCATACATGGATCGAAGACCATCCGTCACCATAGTTGGGTTTAGGCCAGCACTAGTCCTGCCTCACCTTCCTGAAATCCTTTTTATGATTCAACTACAGAGGAAAAGACCAAGGTAGATGCTTCTTCTCCTTATATTATCTCAATTTATTATGTTTTTCTTGCTGCTCATTGTTTTTCATGTTAAACTGAAATATACTATACAAGATCAGGAACTATTTACTCATTTGGGAGGTCTACTTGATCACTGCTACTTTAGAAAGCATTCGATATAAACACATGCCATGCATGCACAGCTGTCAGAACATAATTAATAATACCCAAGCCTTTATGTTCATTTCCTATTCCTGCTACAAAAGTCTAGAAGTCTCCAGAAGACCCAGACAGCAACACGACCTTTGAGAAAGCCACATGGGGTCAGAGCACACCGCAGCAGTTAGATGGCTTTCCAGTTATTCCATCACAGATAGCTACAGAGAATAGAGGAAGACACTTGGACCAAAATGACAACTTCAGCAAGTACTCTAAATCACCACACTCATTGCTGCAAAAGATAACCTTCCTTGAACCATTCTATTTTTTTTACCAGAAAGTAGTATTTATTGAGAGGACAGAAAAAGCTGCCCCAGTGGGAGGGGACCCAAAGGGGTTACCCCTCCTTGAACTATTCTATATAGAATAAATATATTTTTAAAAATACTATTTTTTAAATGCCATATATTGATGAAAATGTCACATAATCCCCAGGTGTTAACAAAAAAGGGAGGGGAAGAAAAGAGGGAGGGAGAATCTTTTATTATTATAGGTGGTTTATCATCTATAGTCTAGATTTGGGGGTGTGAATTAAGTCACAGAAATTTGGCCATATTTTTATTTTATTTGGAGTTTGGATGGGACATTGTTACACAAAAGAGAAGCGTCCATCATAAAATCTTACTAGAAAATTACTATCATTCCAATTCACTCAGTTACTTTTAGAAGTCACTGCATCTTTGCTCAAAGCCTATAAAGTGATTGCCATTCATTCAGGTGTTTGTTCAAAAGGCTTCAGAAGAGTCTGATGAGACACCGGTTCTGGCATTCATCTGTTTGTGATGGCATCCTGGTCCCACCCTTCACTTAGGGGTGCAACACTGTGTCAGTTAGTTAAGTTCTCTATACCTGTTTCCTCCTTTGTAATAGTAATAAGACATCCATCATAATTAATAGTACCAAAGCCTTTATGTTCATCTCCCAAGTATTCTACTTGATTTAATATGTTCTGGGGGTTGTCCACATAAAGTTGCACTGAGAGAAAAGTTAGTGTCAGAGACACAGACAGATAAACAAGCACACTAAGAGAAAAAAAAAGAGGCCAAGATAATGTCCAAGAATAAATAAAATTAGCTAAGGGTTCTTAAGCTTTGTGGATTCAGACACCATTGAGGAACCAATGAGAACTTGGAAGTCTTATTATTTTATGACAATAAAATAATATGATTAAAAGAGATTTAAAAATGTAAAATTTTTAGAGCACAAAGTTAGTACTCGATCTAGGTTGGCTATTCTTACTCAACATATACTTAATAAGTACCTTTTACATACATAACCATTTTTTAGGAACATAAGAACACAACATTGGTCTTCAGGGAAGTATTCCAGTAAGATTTTAAAAGTATGCACGTAGGGCTGGATGCGGTGGCTCAAGCCTGTCATCTCAGCACTTTGGGAGGCCAGGTGAGAGGACTGCCTGAGTCCAGGGGTTTGAGACCAGCCTTGGCAACTTGGTGAGAACTTGTCTCTACAATAAGTAAAAAAATAAGCCGGTGTGGTGGCTTGTGCCTGTAGTTCCAGCTACTTGGAAGGCTGAGGTGGAAGGATTGCTGGAGCCCAGCAGGTAGAGGCTGCAGTGGCCATGAGTGTGCCACTGCACTCCAGGTGGGGTGACAGAGTGAGACTCCAACTCAAAAACCAAAAGTATGCATGTAAACAATCTAGGCAGCAAGTCGATCATGACTGGTGTCATGTTAGAAACACATACAAGGTGCCATGGAGAGAAGAAGAGGCCATCTAGCTAAGAAAGTCACAGCATTCTAAAAATGTTTCACATTAGAAGAGTCATGAAAAATGAACAGAATCTGGACACCTGGTATTGGCATCTGGGGCGAAATATTCCAGGAACAGTATCTAGCATGAGGGCTTCCAGGTGAGGTGAAGTTCCAGGTGAGGTGATAAATGTAAAGGATACTGGGGCTGGTCACAGAAGACCTTGATTGTCAAGCTAGGGAGGTACGCGTTTAGCTCTTTCCAAAGGAAAGTCATTAAAGACTTGGAAAGATCAGAATTATGTTTAAAGATGAGAGTTGTGCTTAATTACATTTATGTCAAATTATAATTTGTGTTCTAAAAATTTTACATATTTTAACTTTTAGTCATCATAACAATCTTATGATACTCTGTTATGTTTAACATGACAGCAGAATAGAGAATATATTTAACTTTTCAGGTTTTGAAAGAAAGATAAACTATCCACTATCCCTCTGAGAGCCAATGGGAGCGTCAATGGGCCATTTACGGGAATAGGATGAGAGAGGAAGAGAAATATGCAAGACAAATTAAGAAACATTTCCCCACTCACACCCCAGTGACTAGGTTGAAATCTTAGTTCCTCCACCTTGTTGGTTTACCACCACAAGATCATGCTGTGACTGTGATGTTAGTGAAAATGTGTTCTGCTTGATTTTGTATGTGTTGAGGTTTGCCTGCAAAAAGTTGCACTGAGCAGAGTTAGTGTCAGAGAGGCAGACAGACAAACAAGCGTGCTAAGAGAAAAAAAATAGGCCAAGATAAAGTCCAAGAATAAATAAAATTAGCTGAGAGTTCTTTTTTTTTTGAGTTGGTCTTCAGGGAGGTATTCCAGTAAGATTTTAAAAGTATGCATGTAGGGCATACTCACTCTGTCTCCCAGACTGTAGTGCAGTGGCCGCTCCCGGTCACCACAGCCTCGACCTGCTGGGCTCCGGCGATCCTTCTGCCTCAGCTTTCCAAGTAGCTGGAACTACAGGTGCGCACTACCACGCCCGGCTAATTTTTTGATTTATTGTATAGATGAGGTCTCGCCAAGTTGCCCAGGCGGGTCTCGGACCCACGGGCTCAGGCAATCCACTCACCTCAGCCTCCCAAAGGCGCGGGATTACAGGCTGAGCCACTGAGCCCGGCTAGCTAAGAGTTCTTAAGCTTTGTGGATTCAGACACCACTGAGGAACCAATGAAAACTTGAAGTCTTATTATTTTAAAAATTAAGGTTGCAATATCAATTGTAGATATCTATTCTGTAATTCTGATAAGTATCAATGAGGCAGCTTTTCAATTATGATATACAAGTAATGTCTATTACTCAAAACAAATGCAACGCAAGCACTTCTTACGCGATCTGTTGTTAGTGCAGCACGTGAGTGAAAATGATCAAAATAAATGCCATTATGTCTCACTGAACATACGTGCCGAAGGCAGCTCTTCAATTATGATATATACAAATATTAATAATTGATAATAATTTATGTTACCCGGAACAAAGATGGCTAAAGTGCTACTTACATGATCTGCTGTGAGCGCAGCACATGGGTGAAAATGGTCAAAATAAATGTCATTATGTCTTATTGAACAGATGTGCTTCTCTAGGTCATTGTATCTCTCTCCATAGAGCACTAAAAATGAAGAGCAAGAGTTTCCAAATCAGTGGAAATGTAGTGACTGAGATAATTTTAAAATAAAAGGCAAAATGTATATGAATGTATCAAACATACCGAGTCTAACTTTATGTGACTGTTTTCCTTGCGAGCAGTCTTTGGGAACATGGGCACGATAGCCTGCATGTCTTTTAGAAGCAAGATTTTTTCCCACTCTTTCGTCTTCTTGTTTCCAGTACCATTTCACTGACTGTAGCCACCTTAAAGAATAAACGTACATATGACTTAGACAGAACATACACCTACTTCTTGTGAGATTACGTGTGAGAAGAGAAAGTTTCACGTGCCTTAAAAATTGTCCTTAGGGGAAAAGGGTCTGAAGTCAGACTACCTGAGATTGAATTCCAACCTCCTCACTACTAGCTGTGGCACCCGGTTGGACAACTTCATCTTTCTGTGCCTAATTTTCCACATTTTAAAAAGAAATTATAGTAGTGGTATGAGAAGTACTACTACTTAACAGTACCAATGAAGAGAATAAGAAATCATTCAGGCTGCTGGGCACTTAAAATAAGTAAACATATCGAAAGCACTTAAAACAGTGGGAGATACCCTAGGAGTCTTTGCTATCTATAGTTGCTATCCACAGGCAAAAATCAAGCCCAGTGATGAAATGACATGGGGCTTTCAACTAATAAGGATTTGCTGTCTTTCCAAACTTTACTACAATGGAGGACAACGGATCTCAGCCCATGGCTGAGTGTGTCATGACATCTTTTTATTTCTTGGGGAAGGATAAAGGAAAGAAAGGAAGGAAGGAAGGAAGGAAGGAAGGAAGGAAGGAAGGAAAGTGTACTTTTTGATACAACGTTTTTGCAACATGGAGTGAATTTCCTACTCAAGTACAGATCTGGCTGGGAGAGTTCTTGATTTTTCTTTACAAAGAGTGACTTTGCTTAACAACGGCCAAGCGGTGCTAGAGAGATGCTGTTTCTTGAAGATCGAGAAATAAGCTATTAAATTCATCAGAAAGTTACGAAACTCTTCAGAACCCATGTAGAAAGTATGAAATTCAAACGTTCACTTCAAGCAAACATTTTGTCCAAACTGGAAGCTAATGCCTACTCAGTGAGATGTCCAGGGTTACTAATGGTAGCTGAAAGAGCCAAGAAGGGACATCGAATCATGACCAGGAGATGCTCCCAGACTTCTGCTCCAATTTCTCCACCAAGACAATGAACCTGTTCAGACAAAAAAAAAAAAAACCTCAATTGAAAAGTTGATTTCAACAAGGGTACCTGCATACTGAACATTGGTATACCTAACCCTGAACTGTACCCCACATCTTTAAAATTAAAAACTAAAAAAAAGTTTGATTTAAACATAGCAAAAGGAATAAGACATGGGATCTTGAAATGGTCACACATACTTCCCCATTATCTTTAAGTGACCATGCCAACTTTAAACAAATAACAGAAAATTTGACAACAGAAAATCTGGACGCCTGAATTTTCTTCAATTTCTGTAACTAATCCACCAACAATTTCTCTTTACTTTTAAAAATGTCTTTCAAAATCTGTGCATTTCTCTCCATGTCGACCGCCACCATCCCACCTCAGTTTCATAACCACAATCACCTCCTGACCACTATCCCAGCTTCTCTTTTTGTCCCCTAAATTCTTTGCATAACAGCCAAGGTGAGATGCTTAAAGGATAGATTAAATCAGGCCATGTCCTTAAATAAATTCCCTCAAGTTCTTTCAATATGGATGCCTTCAGACGATGTCTGGCATAATTTGGCCCCTGCTGCCTCTCTGGCTTCATCTCAAACCGCTATGCCTTCCTTGACTACGCTCCAGATAGAGTGACCTTTCGCTGTCCTTTGAACACACCCTTCCTCCCCAAGGGCGTTCACATGGCTTGTTTCCACGGCCTGAAATGTGGAGTCCCTCTTATTCAACTGGTAGAGTTGCTTAATGCCATTGCATACCAAAGACTTTTCCGAGCACGCATTCCATCACCCTGCCACTACTGCAGTCAGGACAGTCTACTCTTTCCCTTCAGAGCATGTCCCAATTTGTGTGCTCACTTGCTTAATTCCTCTTTCTCGATTAAACTACCATCATCCCTAATGAATAAGCATGGATGAAACTGCAACCTTCGACCGGAATATTCCTGGCACTGACACAATGCCTGGCACTGCGGAGGTACTCCGTAAATACCTGCTGAATAAATGAATCGATGACTTTTGACCAAATAAGGCAAATGGAACTAGATTCAGGGAAGATTCTAAAATGTGATCTCATTAAACAGATTAAATTATGATACCTGGCAGTCAACTGAAAAAGACTTACTAGCAGAGCTAGATTTTTTATTTTTTTTCTGAGTTGGAGTCTCACTCTGTCGCCCAGGCTGGAGTGCAGTGGCCGCTCCCGGCCACCGCAGCCTCGACCTGCTGGGCTCCGGCGATCCTTCTGCCTCAGCCTTTAGAGTAGCCGGAACTACAGGCGCGTGCTGCCATGCCCAGCTAGTTTTTTTTAATTTATTGTAGAGATGGGGTCTCGCCAAGTTGCCCAGGTGGGTCTCGAATCCATTCACCTTGGCCTCCCAAAGCGCGGGATTACAGGCTGAGCCACTGAGCCTGGCTAGAGTTAGATTTTATACACACACACACACACACACACACACACACACACACACACACACACACACACACAAGAACATACATCTTTCCACAGCCCATTTGGGTTTGTCCTGCTTAGATAAAATACCACTCTGCCAAATATTAACCATATGCTTTGTATTAGATAGAATTTTGCCTGATCCTGCCAGAATAGACATTAGCCTTCAAATTCTTTCAATTTTACCCTTACATAAAATAGGGAACACTGAGGTACTCTACGTCGTATCACTTCAGAGTTTTGAAATGGCAAAAAGTCAAGGTTCTGGATTGCATAGACAAAGTTATTGGACTTTTTTTTTTTGAGTTGGAGTCTCACTCTGTCGCCCAGACTGGAGTGCAGCGGCCGCTCCCGGCCCCCGCAGCCTCGACCTGCTGGGCTCCGGCGATCCTTTCGCCTCAGCCTTCCGAGTAGCTGGAATTACAGGCATGCGCTACCATGCCCGGCTGATTTTTTGATTTATTGTAGAGATGAGGTCTCGCCTTTTTAAAAACAGAAATATTCAAAGCCCTCATGATGCAATATATACAGATTAACCCCAAATAAATACAATAAACCAGTATCAAACAAATCAAAAGCACAGCCTGTTTGGTAGCTTCATGTTTACAAGGAAAAAATGTTAAATATAGGTTTGTTATCTTTTTCCCCTTTAAATTAAAAATCTCTTGGAGTAAAAGAATACTTCTTTTTGTAATGTTGAATCTCTTTGAATAAGTATTCTTAGTGATGCTGCTGTATAACTGCTGAATATCTTCCACTTGCCCCTATAAGTCTACATTGCTTTTCATTCTGCACTCTGTTCAAGAAACTGACCCATAGAGGCTACCTCACAGCGCACTCATGCTTTCCGGTTCCACTGGATTTGACCATTGGAGAGTCTTGGCAAGAGATGATCAGGGAGGAAGATGAGGTCCAGGTCATCCCTTCTTGCAAGTTCACCTTGAGCCGCCTACGTTTCTCAGCTAAAGCAACAGCTCTTCACAGTGTGAGCAGGCAATTCAGTTTGAATTCCCTTGAGTTTCAGCAGACAATTCTTGCCCTGTCCCTTTAAGCCTGGGAGGAAACTACTGCCTCTGGATTTCTACACTAACCCATGTGGATTCCCTCACACACACCTTTGAAAAACACCCTTCCTGAAACTTGCATTTTAAGTGTGTCATTTGTTTTCTGTTGGGACCATGGCTGACAAAATAACTTACGAGAATGGACAGAGCCCAAAATGGAGTTTCTCTGGTCTCTTTGAGCTCATACATGACAATAAAATAATCCTTTCCTGGAACCTTGGGCTAGTCACAAGACATTAAGATGAACATCTTTGTCCTAAGAACCTATCTTTCAGCCACCAGCCCTGCCTTCTCATTTGTGTGTCTGACCCAGCCATCTAGCTACCAGCCCACCTTTGTCTATGTGCTCATGACTGACCCACCCATCCATCTGGTTGTCAAAAATAGGAGAAACAGACTCTGTCACCTGTGAATGCTTGTCTGTCCCCCACCCCGCAAAAAAAAGTTTTAAAAACCCCTCATCCCAAGCATTTCCCCATGCTTTCTTTTTTTTTTTTTTTGAGTTGGAGTCTCACTCTGTCACCCAGACTGGAGTGCAGTGGCCGCTCCCGGGCCACCGCAGCCTCGCCTGCTGGGCTCCGGCGATCCTTCCGCCTCAGCCTTCCGAGTAGCTGGAATCACAGGCATGCGCTACCACGCCTGGTTGATTTTTTTATTTTGATCATTGTAGAGATGAGGTCTCACTGCCCAGGTGGGTCTCGAACCCGTGGGCTCAGGTAATCCATTCACCTTAGCCTCCCAAAGGCGCGGGATTACAGGCTGAGCCACCGAGCCCAGCGCCATGCTTTCTTTAAGCCTCTGGCCCCCTCTCCAGTCTTGGAGAGGTGGATCCACCCTCTTTCTCTCCAATTTACTTTCTAAATAAACGATCTTTCCTAATTTAATTTCTGTACAATTCTTCGCCATCCCCGTGACGCCAGCACACTGACCTAACATTATGTAACTGACATCACTGTTGGAGCCAAAAATTATTTGCTTTAGAGGTCAAAGACTGAATTTTGACATCTCCATTCAGGGACACTTATGCCATGGTGGTTGAATTTTATTCTTTCTGAGACTGGAGTCGTCCATGAAAGTTTCCTCTCCCACACGGAACTCAGTAGGGCGCACCGAGAGATGCCGTTGAGTCACGTCAAGAAAAGGGAGCTGAAAAACTCATTGTGATTCACTGGAGAAATTGCTCAGAAAAATGGGCCTCCCCAGTCTGGACTCCACCCGAGGGGACCAATGTCCTGAAGTACTAAATATCTTCATTGTCATACTTATGTGCACCAGGAAATTGACCGAAAGAAATAACACCAAACCTACCTCGTCAAATATAACGTATCTGATCTTTTTTACCCAGTTTTGACGATGAGGTGCAAGTAGTAGAATTTCAAAGCAGGCAGGCACTGTGATAAGTACCTAAAAATAATAATAATATTGTAAGAACTAATATTTTGAGCACTTACTATGTGTAGACATAATCATAAGAATATATGAGCTAGACTTATGAGTCTTGAATGTACCTGCTGATAATTAGCATATAATATTGCTTCTAAAAATAAGTTTCATCGACTATTAGCTTGAACCCTATGTAACTGCAACTCATGTAGACCCAAAATGGCAGACTGCCAGATTTAAAGTTCAAATCCTTGTTTACGGTCATTCTTTTAAAAATAGAAATTGCTCATGATGACAAGCTTGGTTCTTTAAAACCTGACTCTGATATAGAGTTTGGGTCGACAGACATTTATTCAGAATCAACAACTATGAAAGGGGGTGGGAGGGCGGAAGCGGGTTTGGGCAGAGAGGGAAGCCAACTGCAAGGCAGGCCTGGTGGAGCCTTGGCTAACCTGGCTCGGAGGTCTGGAGTGAGTACTGCCTGTCAGAGTTCCTCCACAGCCAAGATGGCTCGCTGTTGATACCCCAACGTAGCTCAGTCGAGGGATGTGATTGCAGAGGCAGCTGGGGAAGTTGACAGCTGGCATCTACCTTGACTACAGTCTCCATACCTGGGCAAGCCCTTTCTTGAATGGTGATCCGGGCAAAACATCTACCACGCAATGTCCTATAATCACGTGTTCACTTTCTGTTTAGTCTTAATTGTTGATTTGTGAGTTCACTACAGAGGAAAACTGTCTACGATTTAGGTAAAACTAGGTATATTATCCATAACACAACATTTTAAAAACTATAATGAGTATCGTTAACAGACACTTATCAAGAAAAAGTAACTCTGGTTAGAAATTAATATTTGTTAAATTTTTAAATAATTTATAGCATTCTTCAAAATATTTTGAATTCATCTATAAACCAAGATGACACAGGGTAGGTAGCACAGGCTAGACACAGATAAATAAGTTTTTTGTAGGCAGGTATTAGGAAGCATTCAGACATTTTTAATTATAATTTTTAAATTTCAGGCCAAGTTGGAATGTGAACTCAGCAGCTTCCCGTAGCCCCCTCGGCAAATCAAAAGAAAGGCCCATCAGATATAAGAATAGGACGGCCCAAACTTTCAGTTCATGGTTTAGTATAACAATCACTAAAAATCTTTCGGGTTCCCTGTCAAAGGTGGAAGGCTGAATACCACCTCTTAACTAACCAAAGCCATAGAAATGATAATAAGACCACCTTTCAAATCATGAACTTGTGAACTAGAAAAGTCCGGCAGGTCTCCTACAAAAGATAACGTGCTCTGGAAAAGACTGTACCTCCTCCCGTCAGAAGTGGAGATGTTTGTCTCTCTGGAGTGATGGTTACCTGTGCTCCACCCTCTTTAGCATAGCAATTATTGTGAAAATATATCTAGATTTTTAGTTAAGAGCAAAAGTCTTTCTTTCCACCCCCCGTCTCTCCCATCACCCCTACCCCTGAGAGAGAGACTAGCTCGTGCCAGGCCTTTCTGGGACAAAACTTACACCTGTGCTTTCTTTCCTCTCTTCTTCTTGCTGATAAACTTTGTTTTAAAAGTTTGCTGAGCACTCTACAATTCAATTTACGGCCGAGTCAAAGAACCCATGAGTTTTGTGCTGCACTCCAACCAGCATCACAATAAATGATACTTGAAATTGGAAATCAAAATGTTAGAGTCCTTAGAGGAAAATGAATTCCAGCTTTCACTCTTTGGAATGTAAAAATATAGATTTTCTCCAGAGATATTTTGTCTTTCATAAAGTCAAGGAAATTATTCTCACAAGGCCTTGTGAAGATGTCAGAGCTCTAGGTGAAGGGACATATAAGTGCTGTCATATAGTTTGAAAGCAAGTTTATTCATGAATATATCCTACCTGACTGTTTAGGGCATCGTGGCGATACTCCCTCGTAAAAACACCACATAGAGCTTCCCCACTTGGCAGGTTTTTAGTAAACCGATTTTGAACAGTTGCTGCTACTTGATTAACAAGGGCCTGATAGATGAGGAAAGAGATCCATCAGTCACATAATAAAGCAGATGGAGGTGAAATCTCAGAGGACCATGGGAACTTTCTAAAAGTGGAGAAAGCTTAAGAACCCTTTTCTTCTATCCATCCACTCTAAATACAATGAAGAGCTCTCTTTGATACCTGACTCAGCTTAAGAACCTCATTGATAAAAAGTAAAATGCAAAACAAAAAACAGTCCTCATTAGAAGGAAAAACAGAAAACATTGCCCAGACTTCAGAAAAAAACAGCTGAATACCTGGACGACCAAGCTTGGAGAGAAACAATGAGTTTACTCTACAAGCAAGGTCAAGAGAAGATTAGTCAAAGGTCGACTTTGAGTCTCTTATATTTGGTGGCTTCCCCCAGATGTCCAAAGGTTGAATATATACATCAATGCTATTTTAGCCTCTGAATCTGGGAGGAGGAAACACAGATTAAAAAGTAGAGTGATGGTCAGCCTCGGTGGCTCAGCCTGTCATCCCAGCACTTTGGGAGGCAGAGGCGAGTGGATGGCCTGAGCCCACGGGTTCGAGACCAACCTGGGCACCTTGGCGGGACCTTGTCTCTACAATAATTCAAAACTTAGCTGGGCGTGGTAGCACAAGCCTGTTGTTCTGGCTACTTGGAAGGCTGAGACGGAAGGCTGACAGGCGCCCAACAAACAGGTCAAGGTTGGAGTCACCGGGAGTGTGCCATTGCGCTCCAGCCTGGGCGACAGAGTGAGACTCCAACCCCCCAAAAAAAGTAGAGTGATCTAGACCTGCCACGTGACCATGTGCATTTGTTTGAAAGAGGAGGTTGGGGAATCAGAAGGCAGGTGAAAGTCGCTGAGCTACCTTGGTTGGGGCCACGTAGACAACCACCCCATCATCGCTCTCCTTCAGCACCTTCTCCATGCAGTAGTAGGAAGCGTAGGTTTTGCCTGAGGACGTGGGGGCCACGATCACTGCCGACTCGTAGTTATCCACCACATCCAGGAGCTCTCGCTGCAGGGTTCAGAGCACCATTTGTGTCAGGAAATTCGTGTCAACGGCACATGACCAAAGCAAGGCCAGTATCTTAACACACTTCCAAAGTGATTTCCTGACCCTCACATGGAATGATTGGGGGTTGAAAACGCACAGAAAGATCTATAAGAGAAACTGAAGAGTTCATATCATTCTCTCAGGAGAGGTTGTGTTTATGCTTTTGAGCATCTGTAAGATGGGTTTTATGTGCGAAAAAGGGAGAGCGAGTCTGAACACAATGTTTTATTATGGGGAAGGTTTTCGGGGTGATTTTTTGTCACTTAGTAAATACAGTTGAGAAATTAAGTTGGAAGTAGCCAATGTGTATATTTGTGACGGTGAAAAGTAGCTGAGGAGGAGAAGAAACAGCAAAGCCTCTTGGTTTCACTACTTCTTCAGTTCGGCAGAATGCCAGGCACTTACTTTGGAGGGCAGGTGGGCGCCTCCTCCCTTCGGCCTGTGCTTTCATTCATCAAGATGACGACTAGTTGAAGAGCAATAAGCCTACCTGATAGCTAGAAGATGGACAAACACCCCAAACCCCCAACACGCACACTCTCTTCAATGCAAGTCGACGCCGACATTCAGCGTGAAGGAGGCACCATAGAGGTTAACAGTGTGTATCTGATGGTTTCGTGTCCTGAGCAGAAGTAAGGAACCCGTCTTCCCACTTGGGGACAAGAGGCATGCATTTTTTTTAAGGCACCCCACCATCGTCAACAGAAGACAGGTGAAGTCAGATTCTGAAAGGGGCGGTCTATTCGGCTGAAGTGATAAAACTGCATTGAAGTTATAAACATGTTCAATTTTTCAGCAAATTCTGTAAGGTTCAGTGTATGTAGAAAGGCATCCCTTCTAAGTTTTATCTCTACCAATATTAATTTCATATACATCTGTAGAAAAGTAGCTACGATGGTGACAGGTGCAGTGTGTAGATTTCTAAACGATTGTATCTATGGTTGAAACCACCCAAATGTTTCTGGGCACATCTGTATATTTTCATACAAAGTCTTATTGACACAGAGGCAGCCTGGAGCCTTTTCATCGCGATACAGCTGGATGACACAGACAGAACTTCAAAACACATCCATGAGTCCGTCGAAGTGCCTCCAAGGAAATGGTCAGTGTATTAAATGAAAATGTTACTTTCTAAAAATGAGAAAAAATAGTCTACTTTGGCACTTTCAGCAGCGGAGAATTTTTAAATGGTGTGCATCAATATTAAGAAGTTCGTGCCAAGTTTTAGAGCTACAAGAATGAGACACTCCTGAGGTCACACAAAACAATAAATGCAATAATTTTGTTTGATTCACATCATTACCTGCCACGTGTCAGGAATAAAGTCGTGGACTCTGGGATCTGGATCTTTTCTTTCATCTCGTATCAAGTGATGGCCCATGTATTGCAGCTGAAACCGAACTGGCCCAATGCCAATGGAATATTTGTCACTTTTCTTCTTCTTTATGTCATCTCCTGCCTTCTTTATCATTTTTAAAGCCCATTTGGAAAGAGATAGCAAAATTAGAACATTATTTAAACAATTAAAACATTTACTACTGAATATCTTCTATGTGAAAAGCATTCTGTTATCTTTTAAATCTTTTAGACTAGAGGAAGGCTTTACCACTTAAATCATCATCTTTACTGGGAATAAATTAGTAGACATCAAGGTTTTTAAATATACATCATAACATTTTTAGCTACAACCTGATATATTTAAAGATAATTGGCACCACTGTTTTGAGAAGTTTTCCTAGAATTAACTATATGATTAGTTTCAAGGACATGCAGAGATTATCTGGCGTTTAATCTTTTGTCCAGGCCGGCATTTATACAAATTTTCTAATTCTAGATTACTTCAAGATTGGGCAGTGAGAGTACTAATGATGATAATATTTTCGGTAAGAAAAATCTAGAAGAGATGACCATATTTGCAAGACATTTTATGTATACCTCATGGCTACCCTATTATAATTGAGCTATTCTGAGAATATTACCTGGGTTGGAGATAAAGAACTTGCCAATTCATTGAATCCTAAATACTTAAGACATCTGGCTATGAGTTCTCGATCTGATTCTTGCAAAAGTTCTGGGTATTTTTCCATCAAGGAGTGAATCCTTTTCATCATCTGAACAGCTATACTTAAATCTTTTGTGATTTTGCCTAGATAAAGAATACACAATAACATTGCTATAAAGGCCATCAATAATAATAATTTTTCATTATCCAAGATTAACCATCTAGTCTGTCAATCTTAATGAGACTCATTCTCTTAATTGGCATTAATGGAGCTTTTGGAGTAAAAAAAGGCTAAGTAAAATAAAATTAAAGTTCAACTATCCACATTTCGTCATCTCCATAGATGACTGAGCTGTAACTATGTCCATGTTGGGAAGAATTAGTTCATAATAGAAATAAGATGATTAAAGATCAAGTTTATGAAGAATAACAAATCTTTCTTCTATTATTCTTACATCTCCTTTACTATGTTCAAAGAAAGATATCTGTATGACTTTAAATATCTGCTTAAAAACTTAGCAACTTTCTTAAGTCCTACTGCTGTTAGCTATAAGTATTTGGCGTAATCACTGGAGCCATTCAATTCAATCCATCTATTCCAACTGCCACAACCAACTCTGCTCATCTCTCTCCATTTCTTTATATGCATACATACGCGTTTTATTCCTCCTCCGCCGCCCATCTTTTCATACTTACCACGTCAGGGCTGTTTTGATTCTATCTTCCTTCCCATCAACCTGTAATTCATCTATTTAGCAAATATTACTAACACCTACTGAATGCTACAACAGGCTGGCTACAAAGGAAATTTAATATAAAGTTGATATTCTCCAGAAGCTTCCAGTTCACTTGGAAAGATAATGCATAACACCAGACCGGCCCCAAGTAAGCAGTAGAAACAATAGGTGTTATGTTAGCTGGATTGCTTGAGGAAGGCTTTATGGGAAGATATTTCATGAAATGGATCTGGAGCATAGGTAGAATTTAAGTAGACGAAAAACAAGGACAAAGATATCTGGCCAATACTACCAGTGGTCTATCAACACATATCACCCCAAATTTCATATTTCCCTTTCCGTATCATTGAAACCTGCAAGGTACTCAGGTGAAAAAAAAACAAAAAAACAAAAAACAACTACATATACCAGAATCCCTTATGGTTAGATGTGGCCTGTGACTAAGGTCTGACTAATATTTAAACAGGCATCACTGAAGGCTAGGAAAGGTCTTTAAAGGAGACATGAAACTGGAATGAGATGCTTTTGCCTTTGCTTTCTAATATCTGCTGAAATGTAGTCATCCAGGAATATGAGGCAACTGGAAGAACAGAGCCATGTGCCAAGGATAATGGAATACAAAGATGGAAGCACTTGGATCACAGATGCCACTGTGGGGTGGCCATGGCAACCCTGGACAGCTTCCATGTGAACGTCACTTAAATGAGTGAAATAAACTTCTATATTCTTTGAGCCACTGTTAATTCTGATCTTAATATCAGCCAATTCTGATTCAGCATCTTGGCTGGGGAGAAAGACGTAAGCTAAATCTTATGCTTCTTGTTGGGATGACTTTGCTAGAGTGGATTGAAGGCAGTAGAATGAAAATGGCGGGGAGGGAGGTGGTGAGAACCTTGCTGTCGTGTGTCCAATGGATTTCAGTGTGGAGATGCTCAAGACTGACAGGTCAACTAGGTTGGCTCAAGAGAATCGTCAGTTTGGAGGTATTATGGAACAGACTGTTCACCTGCTACCAATTTACCCATCTCGGCAGAGTCTCATTTCACCCTTACCTTCCTCTTTCTGTATCTTCTTTTCTTTTCTGCTACCTGCTATAGAAGTTGCAAGTAGAGCCCATAGAATCCACAACAACTTTGGAAGAACTCAACCTGCGAGGCAAGCTTGAATATAGCTTTACCCAGAAGGGAAATGTTTACTCACTAACCTCAAAGATGAATGCCTGATTCTTCCTGGGTACCTTGCCGTTTCTGCTGGTTCCCTTAACTATGACCACAACTTTGTAAGTAGTTCTTTTTCAGTCTGTCTTTGAGAGTGCTTATGAATGTGCTGTATAGTTGCTACCGAGACCCTCTCTGAGATTTCATTGCTCATTGATAAAATACAGTCGTTTCTCCTTAGAAGTTTTTGCTAGTGTCATTGTTGCTCTTCAGACAGCAAAAGTTATGGCCACAGAGCATGATAAGAGCTTAGGTAAGATGGAAATGGTATTAACACGAAGCCTATACGAAGACTTCAACAAGGGTTCCCTTGAAGCTAGTGACAATGAGTCATTTTTTGCCCATAAGAAATGGTTACACAGATTGAGATACAGGTTTGAACAGGAAAGTGTGAAAATTACTGAAGTGGCTACATCTGCCAATGAGAAGCTTCTGCCACATTTCTGGGAGAGATTAAGAAGTTGACAAGGGAGAAAAGATACCATGCAAAGCCAGTCTTCAGTTGTGATAAAAACCAGGCTTTTCTGGAAGAAGATGCTCAATAGAACCTACATTCACAAAAATGTGAAGGAGACACCAGGGCGTAAAACATCACAGGAGAGATAAGCTCTGGTACCATGTGGCAACACTAACGTGCATATGACAAAGCCGGGTGTAGTATATAAAAAGAAGAACCCATGCACTCTTAGGCTGAGAAGGTTGGCTCGCATCTGCAATCCCAGCACTTTGGGAGATGGAGGCTAGAGGATGGCCTGAGCCCAGGGGTTCGAGACCAGCCTGGACAACATGGTGAGACCTCTTCTCTACGATAAATTAAAAAAAATTAGTTGGGTATAGTGGCACACGCCTGTAGTCCCAACGACTTGGGAGGTTGAGGAAAAAGGATTGCCTGTGCCCGGCATGTTGAGGCTGCAGTGAGCCATGATTGTGTGGCTGCGCCCTAGCCTGGGTGACAGAGTGAGACAAAGAAAGAAAGAGGGAGAGAGAGAGAGAGAGAGAGGCAGGGAGGCAGGGAGGGAGGGAGGACGGACCCACACACTCTCAAAAAAAATTATCTGCTTGTGTTCTGGCCATTTGTATCATCCCACATCCTCACAGGAAGAAAAGGGGTGAGTACAGTACACTACGATGTTTTGAGAGAGACCACATTCATATAACATTTATTACAATATATTTTATAATTGTTCTTTCTATTATTAATTGTTGTCAATCTCTTGTTGTGCCTAACTTATATGTTAAACTTTATCATAAGTACGTATGTCTAGGAAAAACAGTATAGATAAGGTTCAGTACTATCCACAGTTTCAGACAATCACTGGAGATGTTTGACATAAGCCCTACAGGTAAGGAGGGACTATGGTAGCAGTAATAATATTTACATAAAATAAAATAATGTACATAGGTCCTCTAACACAAATTTCCAGTTAATAAATTGCAACTGTCTGCATTACATTGTATTCATTCTCCAACATGAAAAATAAGAAAACATAGACTCACACACCTTCTTCACTTCGACAATGTTCTTTCCAGGTTTTCAGGCAGGCAGTGAGCCCTGCTACTTCAACTCGAAGTTTCACTGAATTACTTTTACAAGATTTCAAAAACTCTTCCAGGCTTTTTATTCCAGAATTTAAATTTTCTTTCATTTCTTCTTCAATAGAAAACGACAGAGCACTCCACTTTTGCTCTTCTTTTTGCTCTTCCTTGGCAAGTAACCTCTTCTTGTTCTCTCTGGTAATTATTTCAGCCTTGGTCTCCTGCCCGAAAGGAAAGAAACATACCTTTAAATAAGCTGGAACGACTCCAGGATGACATTTCATGAGTGAGACAACGTATTCAAGCACGCATGATGACTTTGACTGTCATCCCGTTCTTGAGTAGACATGGAAAATGTCTGTTTTAAAAGTAAGCCTCTGTTCATTTATAACTTTATGACAATTTAATTTAGTGAGTAGAAAGACTCTCCATAGACAATCTTCTACATTTCTGAGTGGTGTGGATTATAAACAAAAGATTGAATGTGATAAAGCAGAGACATCAAGCCACTGCTCCTTCATGTCTTTGGGCAGTCCTATCTGCTGCTCGCTCTGTCTTCGTTCATTCCTCCCAAGTCACCTCTAGTCCCTACTTGTTCTTCAAGACGTTTCTTCCATTAAGCCTTCCCTGACTCTCTTACGTCCAAGTCATCTTTTCCTCCTCTGCTCAGGCGTCTGTCTATAAAAGCACTCTTCTGCATGAACTGTATTTTACTTGCCTCCTCTCTGGATTGAGTTCCTTAAGACAGGAAGGTGCCATTGTGGTCTGGGTATCCCAAGCACAAAATATTTAGTCCATGATGTTTGATGAGTGGATAAGAAAAGAGAAAGAAAATGAAGGAAAAGAGTGGATAGAAGGAGCAACACAAGTACAACTGACGTATTCTACCTATGTAAGCATTTTCAACGGACTTAAACACGAAAGGGATTCACTTACGCTGTGCTTTACCAACTCTATTTATTAATCTACAAAAACAATTAGAGACTTGTTATATTAGCAAAAGAATTCCAACACATTTTCCACTATTCTGGTTAGTCACAAAATTAATGTGTACATTCTTTCCTATAATAAAGTCAACTTCACCTATCAGTGGTCTCCAGATATTTAATGCTAACCAACAATATTTGAATTTTCCTTATGTTTAACCTTCTGAGTGTGCTGTGTTGAGAGTCAACTCAGCATGGTTCTCTCTCAATAGGACAAGGGTGGCTTCTGGCCCTTTGTCATATATGAAGCTCACTTCATTTTCAATATGCAGACTTATTAAACTGTAACTGTGGCTAAGAGAGCTTATTTATGCAGTACTTAAGGTGTTTAATTCCCTAGAGATGATTTATTTAGTTAATAAGGAAAGGAAAAAAAGGGAAAGGAAAAAATAGCATGAGGCTTTTTTTTTTTTTTTTGTCTTCATACCTTGTACTATGTGATGAGAATTTTTGTAAATTTATAACATCTCTCAAAAAAAAAAAAAAAAAGAAAGAAAGAAAAAGGAAGGGGAGTGGGGAGAAGAAGAAACCTTTTGGCACCCACAAATGAAAAAGCAAATGTTTAATTGAATGGTCTCACTGACAGTAAAATTGGCTATAAAAAGGAAAAGAAGGTTGTCTTCATGAGGAGAGAAACAATGACCATGTAATTGGGTTTGGGGGAGGGGAGGTTTCTTTTTATGATAATTAAAGCAAAAGATAGAGCAGCCCATTTCTGCTTGGGCCTTTGAAACAGTTCCACGTAGAGTCTTCACTGAAGGACTGAGAACATTTTAGAGTAATTCATAATTTTTAAAAATGTTATCTTGAGTAAAAAATAAAAGAGTTTTTTAGGGAAGTCCTTGAACTGACAGGCTGATGCCTGTTCCTCAGGGTTCTAAAACTACCACTGCCTGCTTGTGAATTTGTTGGAGGCCTGGCAAAGAGATGACACACTTTCCTGACCTTGCCAAAATTTCCCCAAAAATAAGTATTGCGAAATGAGATTGAAAAATTTTTTTTGTTATTTTATTTTTTGGCCTTTATCTATTTCATTTCTGATAACTTTACCAGGCTGACTTCAATTTGATAAGATAGAAAAGGGACACATACCTTTGCTCATGATGGGTTTTTGTTAAGTTGGTACCCTCTCTAGTATATTAAAGTCTTTGATCTTAAAATAAACTTTCAGTGTAAATAAATGCCTTTTTCTAATCTCCACTTTGAGACCCACGGAAATAGACGAAAGTTTAATGAGTATTCTATTTGTTTAAAGAAGTCAGCAAAGTATTGTCTTCCTTCAAAGTCATAAAATCAGTAATTCAGTTTTAACATTAAATTTTCTGTAGTTGGCCGGGCTCACTGGCTCAGCCTGTCATCCCAGCACTTTGGGAGGCCAAGGCAAGTGGATTGCCTGAGCCCGCGGGTTTGAGACCAGCCCGGGCAACTTGGCGAGACCTCGTCTCTACAATAAATCCCAAATCAGCCAGGTGTGGGGGCGCACGCCAGTAGTTCCAGCTACTTGGAAGGCTGAGGCAGAAGGATCGCTGGAGCCCAGCAGATCGACGCTGGGGTCGTGGTGAGCATGCCACTGGGAGATGGAATGAGACTACAACTCAAAAAAAAAAAATTCTCTACTTGTACATTACTATGAGCAGGAATTAGTAGCTGAGAATTTTCACATCATACACTATTAGTATTATGATTCCAGAAACAGGTTGGAACTTGCCTTATTTGCACTCTGAGCTCTATCCCCAATTATGGCCCTTGGAAAAAAGGTGTACAAGTAATATCCCAAGAAGGAAAAAAAAGGTAAGGATGCAGGGATCCAGTCCACATAAAGAAGAGGAAATGGGTAGTTCCAACCTTCGACCCCCAAAAGATGGTGGTTTAATTATTTAAATATGTTGGAAAAATGTAGACAATCTTTATAATTCAGGCAAAAAAACAGATAGGTATTTCATATCTATTTTTACAAATATTTTATTGTTATTGACTAATAAACAGCTGTATTTTTTAACATGACTTCAATGTTCCTAAATCCAAGCCTTTAGTAAGTTAATGCCTTACATTCTTCTTCAAATAAATACATATGTCATCAAGTATAGAGGACTATATATAACTTTTTCTATGCAGGTTAGACTTTTTTAGCAAGTAAGTAAAATCATAAGTAATCACATATGAAAAAGAAGAAGCATTCTATAAAAAGAAACTGTCAAATACACAAATATCAATTTAGAAAAATAAAAATTTTTAAATATATTGGAATTTGTAGAACTCACATGTGTCTTTTTGCTCTTGGGCTCACTAAAACTCTTCTTTGACTTGGCAGTTTGAGTCACGATGAGTTTTGAAGATATTGATTCTAATGAATTCCCATAAAATCGCTGAAAAACATGATACTTTTGCAGGGATTTAAGAACACGAGGGTCTTTAGAGCTTTCTGAAAAAAGAAAAGACTTCAAATGTAACATTATCGTATTTTTCTATAACGTTTTCACTAATTCCCACTCATATACCCATAAATTAAGCTATCGGAGCAATAACTTAATCTGATTACCTTTGCTAAAGAGAGAATTTTAAATCAGGCTATCTCTTGTCTGAAAATTCCTTACCTTATTTAAGGGATGGAGATGACAAAACACACTCTCATGGTCTACTTCCAAAAGCAAATTTCAGAGTGCTGAAAAAATGACAAGACTACTGCCTACATCAAGCGCCCAATGACCGTGGTTAGTCAAGACAGCCTTCTAAGAGATTCTGACTTCCTGTATCACTGGACAGAAAAAATTCTTATTCTGAACCATAGCCAAAGAGCAAGAACTTGGCAGCTAAACAGCAGTGAAGTCACAACATCCAAGGTATGACTTACTCTCAGACCCCAAACAAACTACAGTACTCACTCAAATGGGATAACTAAGCTGGTTAGGTTTTTCTTTGTCTGTGTCTACATACATTAAACCAAACCACCTTGCAGGATGTTCATGGTTAATATATAGTATCCCTCATATCTTGAGAGTTGTGTATATACACAAGCGAGAAAGTTTTTCATACAAGCGTACTTACTATGCACATCCTAGGCTATTCTCAAAGTAAGTTTTGTCATCTCTAAGGAGGTGGGGTTAAGAACAGAGGTAGACAAAGGTGAAAAGAAGATGAGGAATAGACTAGTGAGACAAGATTTCTAAATCAGTCTCTGTTGATCTACTGTTAGTTGTTTCGTGGGCTCCTTTTTCAGTTTCATCTGCCCTGCACATGAAGGCAGATGCAATGCTGGCCCTTGTTACGTGCAGTCAACTGGGTGATATGAAAACAGTTAAAATTGCTTAGAAGGCTATGGCCTCAATATATTAGACTTCAAAGAATACGCAGATCTCTTAAACTACAAAACACCTTTCCTTAAAACAGCTTCTAGCATCGATGGAAACAAATGCCATATTCATGCACTGCTTCCTAAAACCTCTACATAGATACAAACATACGTACATATGGCTGTCAGCAAACAAGATGGGAACCTTTCTTGACCATCTTCCCTAAAGCTCATCTAACATCTCGTAGGCAAATCTTTTCGAAAAATTAATTTTGGGGTCACAATATGATAACTTTTCACTATAAAATAAAGGGGAAAGAGCAAAACTGATTTAAATTTATTTCACCAAAGTCACATAGCTCACCAGTAAACTGACACTTGGACCTGTCGTAATCATCACTGAGGGGTTTGTGAGAATGCCAGTGCACAAGTTCATCAAATTCCTTTTGTTTCACCAGTGAAGTGACAGTAGGATCATCGCTGTGAAACAAGCGAACAAAAATGCATATTTTAAATTGCCTGCATCCAAATATAATGCAGCACAGATTTTATTTTATAATAATATTTTTCAAAATCAGAGCTTCCCTGCCTTTTTTCTGCAATATGATGAGGGGGATAGAATCCAAAGAGAAGTTTAGTAAAGGTTTAAGAAACCAAAGTCCACCCCGTGTCTCCAACAGTCTCATCAACATCAACAGACAAACACTCATTCATTCATTCATTCATTAAGAACATCTGGCTGGAGTGATTTACTCTAAAATTAAAACCATATAGATTTTTACCTAGTAATGGCCAAAGGGCATTGGACAATTTGATAGCACATTCATTTTGTGCTACAAACACAAACTGGCATGTAATGTACTCTATTCTGCACTTCAAAAAGATCTTTATTGAGTAACTCATTCATTTTATACAAGTATTTTGAAGGCAAATTTTTGGCCCTATACCTCTTTAGAAAAGGCAAATCTTTCAAAATATCTCCAGCAAACTTATCGACCACATTAGATGACATTGGAATAAAGCCCAAATTAGGCATCTTTTCCTTGGAGCTGTCTGTAAACAAAAAAATGGAGACAATGTCAAACGTAAAGCTTTCATACAAAAATACAGCACATTATTTTCTAAAGCCTTACATTAGAATATTTTACATTAATCTTATTTACATCGATCAATTCTAGCCCTCCCCGAAAAACTATTTCCAACATTAAAGCATGTTGGCACGCAGAGTACAAAGAATTAGATAGTATTTAAGCATTAGGTGGGTGAGTAGGTGGGTGGATGGATAATAGATGACGAATGGATGGGTAAATAGATGATAAATAGATGATACAGATGTACATACATAGCTCATATGATAATGAGCTAACGGATGACTTTGTTTAATGTCTGGTTCATAATTCTAAGTAAACTCATCTAACTCTGCCCGTCGTGCTCCTGGTGCTGACCATTCCTGGTTTTGTCCTGATTTCTTCCTACGGCAAGTACTTGAAAGACGCGGAGCCTTCCTATCAGTTCCCCCTTCGGTTTTCAGGCCCTGGGATTCCCCTGCTATTGTGTTGAGCTTAGCCATCATTATCTAAAAGGAGGTTTGGTGTCTCTTATCCAGCATTTCAAGGGTTTTGCACCAAGAGATCTTTCTGTTGACCTCTATTGCAATATTGTTAGAAACGGAAATCACATATACCTTGCTGTTTTTTTAGATCGGAACATTTGATTTCCATTACAATACTGATTGCAAGCAAAACATAAATCTTCACAAACTATAGTCACAGCATATCATTCCAAAGATATAACAATAAAGGTGATTTCTTTTTATTCAAATTCAAAGTGCCCCAAATTATGTCTACTTGCAGCATTGAATGGGTGATGTCTTCAAAAATACTTCCAGAGGAACAACTATTTTATTTCAAATTAATTTAAAAATACATTACCTTTGATTGGTGATGATTTATTTTTGAGAAAATGAAGTTTTGTGGTTCTCACGGGAAATGGCTGTCCAACCTCAAACTTTCTGACTAACGTGGATACAGCACTCCAGAGGTGTTCATAATCTTTCACAATGACATTTCCCAAATTCAACTGTAGGCCTACCAGGCAGTTAAAAACACTCAACATTAAAAGTCACTCACACACACAAAGAAGCACACATCTTGACTAAATTCACGGAGCTCTGAAATAACTGTCAGAGAGAAATCTTCCCTGAGTTTCATACTAGACCTAAATTAAAATGGCAACTAGGACTGACTCTGAGATGGCAGATGGTAAAATTTGTCCTGTTTTTCTTTTTGATGACTGAGCATCAGAATTATAATCATCTTAATGAAAAAAACAAATTGTAAACATTTAATTATTCTTTAATAAAAATGTTAGACCTCACATAACTTTACAATAAATAAAAGAAAATAAAAACTTTGATTTTTGAGGGATGAGAAAATCTGTAGAGAATCATTAAATTTGTATGTAGCCAATTAATTCCAATGGTTACAATATGAAGGAACCAAACCCTGGTGGTCAAAGAAGTTTCCATAATTTCCAATCAATTACATAGTTCTCTCTAAATGTGCTCATTTTTATTGGACTGTTAAGAAATACCAGAAAACACAGTCTAAGAAAAAAAAAAAAACAAAGAAAGAAAAACAAATCACATATAGTAAATATATACATCAGTCTTACCTTTTAGAATAACTTAAATTTCCTAAATATCTTCATAGCAGTGAAATGATTACATTAATCAGAGTAAATTTTATGAAGAAATACTATACCTGCATTTAAGTGAAAATTCAACTGCTAAACCTAACTGGAAATGCCAAACACCCAAACATATTCTTTCTTCCAAAAATACTTTTAGAGTAATATTAAGTGAAAGTATATTTTAAAATACAATATTCACTCTGATTGTAGCTAAATAAAAATCATATCCATATAAAAACAAAGATAAGAAGAAAGGAAAATAACTTATATGTTGGAAGTACAGAAAAATTATTTTGAAGTTTTAAATCCTTTATAATGTTAATCTGTGAATAAAATTGTAATGATTATAATATACTGAGAGGGTACCTTGTACATTTTCATGTTCTTTCTTTTCTTTTGTTTGTGCATTTTCATTTTCATAGTAAAAAGCAATATTCTTCAATAATGGCTCATCACTTAAGTCAGGAAGGTGAATTAAATTCAAATTCCAAAATTCAAACATATGTATATTACTTAGGATGAAATATTCACACCACTTTTTCTGAAAATTGAAAATAAAACCAAGGTATTGGCAATTTTCGTATAAGCAACCCACCACAGAATCTCCTCATATCCTTTACAACCAAGCTGCAAGGCAGTGAGTAGGGTTGCTCCAAATCTGATTAATGTAAGCCCATTCAGGCTGGGTAATGATGAACATTTTATACTTTTAAAAAAATTAAAGGAAAGATAAAAGTAAAACTGACCAACAAATGAATTCAGTATATTTCTTTATCTGTATTTGACTCTTAAAACAATTTTTTTCTCACATTGTGATTCGCAGATAGAGTCTAAAGGACACAGAAACTTTTCTGCTTTCAAGTAAGCTTTTGTTCTTTATTTAAGTTTTAATGTTTTCCAATTTTCCTTTCGGTTCAAAAAGTGTATTTTTTACAAAAACGTTTGATTGTCCAGGACTCTAGAAGATGTGGAATCCTTCAGACTCTAAGATTCCCATCCACCTGCTCTGGTGTGCACCTAGCAGGTTTCTGAGAGCGAGACTGTGTTCCCGCCTAACACAGGTAGCGTTTGCGCTAACCACACTTCTTCCAGAGTGGTTCCAGGTAGAGCAAGAGTCTGATTCAGCATCCAGGTGGTAATGCTGTCTGAGAAGTTGAGAGAGCGAGACAGTCTTCTCTGCACCACACTCCCTTAATTGCAAAACACAGGTGTTTTCCAAACGTGAACAATATTCATCTGTATAGATGTGGAACTTATTCTAGCGTTGTCCAATAGAAATGAAAAATAGCCAAGCCATATGTTATTTTAAATCTTCTAGAAGTCACATTTTTAAAAAGCTAAAACTAATTTTAATAACTTGGTATTCAATGTATATCCAAAATGTTATCATTTCAACAAGCAGTGAATATACAAATATTAACAAGATAGTGTGCACGTTTTTCATACTAAGTTTGTGAAATCTGGTATTTATTTTAGTGTGGGACGGGGGTGGGTGATGGGAAATTACTTAATGGGCACAATGTATATTATTCGGATGATGGATATCTTATTCAGATGATGGATATCCTAAAAGCCCTGACATGATCACCACGTAATCTATGCATGTAACAAAATTGCACTTCACCCCATACGTTTATATGAACAAAAATTTTTAATTAAAAAATAAAAATAAATTTACAGCACAGTTCAATAAAGACTGCCCACATTTCAAGTGCACAATATCTATTTGTGGCTACTGTCTACTGCCTTGGACATCCCAGTGCTAACCAGACAGGTTAGGGAGGCTGCCCAAGGTTCATGAAGAAGCGACAAGCACCAAAAAAGCAGGAACCTCTGACCTACAGTGTGGTTTTACCTCCAAATTAGACATTGCAGAGAGCTCTACAGAGCCACAGAACAGCGGTGCTCAAACCTCACCATAAGCCCGACCTGAAGAGGTTTAAAACAGATTGCTGGGGTTCAACCAAGACTTGCTGACTCAGTAGGTCTGGCATGGACCTAAAAATGTGCATTCCTAAGAAGTTTTCAGACGTGCTAAAGCTGTTGTTCAGGCAATCTCACTTTGAGAACTGCTGTCATGCAGGCTTTTTTCGCTGATCTCTTTCCCATAATATCACTGAGTAAACAAGAATCTGTGAAAGCAGAGAAGTCCCTCACTTGGGGCAAGGGGTGCCTCTGGTGTGATTCCAGACGTCAGATTCAGAGTAAACCTCATGGAACTGTACCTTCTCTAATTCGTTTAGATGCTTCCTTCACAGGCCTCCAAGAATGTCCCTTCTTGTGAAAATGGTAGGGGCTACCTGAGATTCCACGTCAAGTCACAGGGTGCTCCCAGAAATGAGGCTTGGAGTATGGGAAATACAAGACGTGTATTTGGAAGGGAGATGGAGCAGAAGGCTGGTCTCACCTTGATCAGCTATTAGCTATGCTCATAAGCCTCTTCGTCTCTTTGAGCCCAAGTTTTTCATTTGTAAAATGGCATAAAGGACTGTTGTTATGTCCCCATGAGGTAATAAGGGTGAGGCATACACACAGAATGAGTATGGAACAAATAGTAGCTGTTCTTATCATTTTCAGCAACTGATGCCATCCTGATTAAAGCCCGATGCTGTCTGTCAGCTTAAAGCACAAGATATGTTGTGCAGAACATTCCAAAATGTATAAAGACTTTTGCAATGTTCTTTTCGCCCAATGCTTCATTGTGCAAAAAAAAAAAAAAAGTGAAGCAAATGTTTTATCTTTAGCTTAAAGCCCAAGGGTTTGCTTCAAAAAAAAAAAAAGAAAAAAAAAAAAAGAAAAAGAAAGAAAGAAAAAGAAAATTCTTTATAAATAAAAATTTATATCTGACATGTAATATCAATAGGTTTAGTGTGTTGATCTGAAATGACTGACATTAGAATGTCTAAAGTAAATTAAATAGGAACTAGAAATGGCATGGAGAGCCCCCTCTGAGTGTGTGGGCTGTATTTCAGTAGATTACCAACTTCAGGGAGCCAGCTTGAAGCCAGTCAGTTGCCATTGACCATTCATTCTCCATTCAAGGGATCTGGGCATGTTGCCTTGTAGAATACTGGAGAGTGATGTGTACCTGGAGACAGCCGGACTAAAAGCCCCTTTCTTGTTGAAATGAGGATGACACTTGCATACATGGCCCCATCAAAGTCTGGCATGAGGGATGTGAAGGAGATTCACAAAGGGAATCGATTTGAGTGTGACAAAGAAGTAACTGAATTTGAGGGGACTCTCCACGCCATTTCCTTTGCATCCTCTCACCTGGCTTCCGAGAACTCTTTGAAGTCGAACAGGTCCTCCTTTCCCTCTCAACTAAGTAGCATGACTCACTCAGAGCCCCCAGGAGCAAATGGAAGCACAGGAGGCCGCCTTCCATGACTTCATGCCTGGACAGACACCGCACTGCCTTTCCTGCACCAGGTCTCCGGCACGTGGAGCCACGGGTGTCCAATGTGATGTCAGTTGTCTCTTAAGCTGCGCACTGAGGACCGCAGTACGGGTTCTCTTTAGGCACAGACTCATGCCCTTCCCACTCAACCCGTGGGACCCTTCCCTTCTCTCTCCAGCTCTCTCTCCTCCTCAGCTCGTGGACACTGTGCACTCAGGGCAAGGCGGCAGTGTCGTGGGGCAGAGGTCGGTGGACACATTTTTCCGCTCGTATTTATCAGACATGGAGCAATACTTATGATGGTACAGGCCAGAAGTTTGGCTTTTGTTGTCCTAATCCCTGAAGCAAGGGTGAAAGCCAGTTTGCTGAAGGAGGGGATTATAAGAGGAAAGTTGTGCACCCAAGATTTTATCACAGGACTTTTCAACCGGTAAATTTCAGGGCATTTATGAACCTTATAGGCAAAGTCACACTTTCACTTTTATTTCTGCTAACTGGTAACAAAGGTTTATACTTTCCTCGATTATGAACCCAGACATCGTAACCCTAAGCAGGAGCTAGAACTTGATGCCAATAGAAATTACACTTTTTACATCACATTATGTGTTGCAAATATCTTGAGATGCTATTTATACCAATCACTGCATTGAAAGTATGGTCGCTATTTGATTATCTAAGGGAGTAACAAAAAAGCAAAGTCATGATATATAAACATATGTCTTAATTTTGGGGTAGTGGTATTTCAATATAATTAGCTTCCCTTATAATACTTTGCATCTTACTTTATGCACTTACAGTATTCTGATAAATCGTTCATAGAATTCACCAGATTTCCAAAGAGGCCTCAGCCAAAAAAGTAAGAAGAGGTTAAGAACCCCTAAATAACTCTTCTCATGACATTTTTGGCATACTTGCTTGCTGAGGATAAGAAAGTGAGCCAGAAATAGGGCCTTCTGTGGCAAATCCTGACAACACCACTTCCTCTGCAATCGTAACAAGTAGCAGCTGCTAATTCCACTCACACATCGCTTTCCCTCGGCCCTAAGAATTAGAGGTAGCAGCCTCCCCCTCCCCCAACTCATCACTTCTGTACTTTTCTTCGGCCTCACCCAGTGCAGGGCAGCCTTCATCTTCATGAAGCCCTCCTCAGTGCTCACCTTGCCACCACTCACAAGCCCTCTTCACCACTCACAAGCCCTCCTCACCGCTCACAAGCTCTCCCCACCATTCCCAAGTCTTCCACACCACTGATGAATCCTCTCCACCCCTCACAAGTCCCCCTCACCACCTGGAATATCGTCTAATCACTCATAAGTCCTCTTCACCGCTCACGAGTGCCCCTCGCAAGTCCTCACCACTCCCGTGTTCTCCTCACCATGCTCACGGACCATTCCACCTGCACACCATCCACTTAACGATGACAGTTTTCACACCGGGCTCACACTCTTCCTCTCTTCCTTAGTCCTACCAGCATCAGAAGTAACCTCAACCTCCAAAGAGACAATTGTTTCAGCATTTCTTGAATTTCTTCTGTCCTGGCCCCCTTACTACTCGATCCCAGTTTTGTGTTCTCACAGACACACCCCAGACCTTAGTTAGTCTCTTATCATGATCCACAGTGAGCTTCATGCTATTAAACCCAATGCATTCTTTTCAGTCCTTGACTTCCTACAATTCTCTGTAGCCTTTGATGCTATTAGCCACACTCACTTTTTGAACGGTCCGGTTCTTTGGACGTTCGGAACAATTCATCTCCTGGATTTCCATTCCACTGATCCATAATCAGCTCCTTCTCAGTGTCTTTCGCCCGTGTCTCAACCCAAGCTTAATACTGGATATCTCGGGTCTCTTATCACATCTCTCTTCCAAAATAATTTCATCTATTACATAGCATCAATTAACATCCAAAGGCTAACAATTCCTAAACTCTTATCTCCAGCCCATTCTACTCACCTAAGTCCAAATCAGTATTTCAAATTATTCACCAGGTATCTCCTTATGGATATTTCATTCACACTTTAAGCTTAATATTTCCAAAACTGAGCTCATAATCTCTCCTAAATCTGCACTTCATACAATGGCAACATCCCCACACGTGCTAGAGCCAAAGATCTAGGAATTATTTGACTCCTCCCTTTCTCTCATTCACCACACTCAATCACTAAACTTGTCAATTCGACATCTTATACAACTCTTGAAATTGTCCATTACTATCTGTCTACTTACTCCTAACAGCATCAAGACTTGCACGATCAAGGCCATAGTCACCGAATTTCCCCCAATCTACTGTTTTGCCTCTGCAATGCACTGTCTACATCGCAAGCCAAAGAGATTTTTAAAAATGAGAGTGCCACTCGTCTGCCTGAAACCATTCCATCGGTTCTGTTTGCGCTTATGTAAGGTCATAGCTCTAGTCTTTTAACAGGAACTATAGAGTCCTATGTGTTCTGTCTCTGTCCACCTCTTCAGCTTCACCACACCCCATATTTCCTCTATTCCTGCTCTAGGAGAAGCATCTCAGTTCCTTGGTTATGCGCTCGTCAAGACAATCACACATGCTGTTTCATGTCCTAGAATCCAGCTTCATCTTCTCTCCCCATCCTGCTAACTCCTACTTATCCTGTAATCCTGCGCCTTTGGGAGGCTGAGGCGAGTGGATTGCCTGAGCTCGCAGGTTCGAGACCCACCTGGGCAGGCGAGACCTCATCTCTA